CGGCCCAGAAGCTACAAAGAGAGTGTTCAAAAAGCTTTCCTTTGTCCATTTCACTGAAAACCAAGGCCGTCAGGAGTTAGTTTAGAGCCCGCGGATATGCAATATATCCCCCAAGTTCCGGGAAACCGAACCGAAGTTGGTGTAAATCACGATTTGCGCAAGACGGTCTCGGCTACTCTTTCAGTCTTTAAGTGAAGTGGGGCTATTTTTCGGCCCAGAAGCTCAAAAGTGAGTGTTTAGAAAGTTTTGCTCTGTCACATTCAGCGAAAACTAAGGCCATCAGAGTTTAGTTTAGAGTCCCCCGGACTGAAGAATATCCCCCAAGCGTATCAAGCTTTGCCTATTGTTTATGTTTAATTTTTTTAAGACAATGAGCCTTTTGTTGTCTGTTCCTTAGGGATTTTTCGTCCGGTTTCACGAAATTATACTCGGGTCATATCGGATTTAGTCGGCAAATTGTCACTGATGCATATTTTCCCTAAGGGTAACCTACTTGGGAAAACAAAGACAAACCATTCGGGGGTGGGTCAGTAAATTTCAAGAGCACGTCAACAGCTTTGACTAAACTTTTGTAATACCGCGCGCGCATGTTTCGGCCTTACTAGCTCAGCCTAACTGAACTTTACTTTTATTTAAGTCGTTAATTAAAATAATTGATACTTAGAATATAGCTTGTATTATCCGTGTTTTAGCAAGCAAGCGGCGGTCAGTAGCTGGAAGCGATGAGAACGGTTTCTCTTTAAATTTAGGACCACGGAAAAGGAGCAAGACACGGCAGACTGGAGCAGTTGGAATGCAGCGAAGGCAGCAGCCAGGGACAGAAGAGCATAGTCAACCAGCGTGGAGGCCTTATGCATCTACTTGTGTGAGAAGAAATGATGATGCTGACAGAGCAATGTACATGTTTTATGACAAAAACGATCAATTATCCTCACCCTGAATAGCTTTGTCTTGTTTTACTGACTGAAACCTTTTATAGAGTTTGTCATTTTCTTTTAAGAGACACGAAAAGGTTTTCTTGACGTAATACTCTGAATCAATGTTCTCTATGTTATCAATCACTTCTGGTAGAAGGTGAGCCCTGCCAATACCACAGCCGGGAGCATCGTACTTCAGATGGGTGAAATGAACATGAAAATGATAATAGGAGGGTTGATAATGCACATAAATCCGAAGCTGGTCTGAAGGGACATCGTACTTTTCCTTAATGGCTTCCTGCAAAAAGAAACAACAGAGACAAAGAGATAAATGGAAACATTTTTAACCGCTGACTCCCGTAACCGCCCGCGACAAACGTTGGTCTTTGTTCCACTCACAAATCAAGCAATGTTGAAAGTGTCCTATGCAGAGAGAAATACAATGTAATGAAAAATGGTAAGTTTTAAGCTCAGTGAATAAATATGAATAATGAAATGTTCAGCATGCTTTGACTTTGGCACATAAAGTCTGAGTCCCTGAAGGGATCAAGTCCCTTGGATGATCATCAGAAAAATGCTCATGGTCTTAGTATCCTCACTGAAGTGCAATAGTAATTATAAGTGTGATAATAACAGTATTCACGCTTTCATGTTCAATCTCATTTGGCAGAAATAATCCATTGTTTGTCTGCCGTACTGTACCACTTCTATTTACTCTTCTAGTCCCACCACATTACTCACTAATTAGAGATACGAAAGGCAGGATAACAGGTTCAAAACAAACCAATATTGTTACCTGTCCTTTTAGCAGGATGTTCTTCAAGAGAGGGAGATGTGACTGACTGAGATCTCTGAGAGATTTGATTCCTCTCGCATGGCAAATAGCCACAAGATACATATTCTCCATCTGCTTCTGATTCCATTTCAGATCTGGTAACAACACAAAGCCTGTCACAGGATCACTGTCTTCAAACACAACACGCTCCACTTCAGCTTTCTTTTCTAAAATGTTGTACACCCACTAAAACAAGGTTAAAAACATGTGAAGTCTTCAAGTGAAAAAGGGACAGCATTTTAATGCAGGGGACACAAGTCCCTGTCCACAATTCAGCGGACAAATTTGAAAACAGCATTTTCACTCTGAAAATGCATCAAATGTTTTCCGTCTACACAAGCTGGAGAAATTTCAAAACACATCAACCACCGGCCATTTTGGATTTGTTGGGAAATCACCTTATATTTGTGACGTAATCATTTTTAAAAAGCTCCATTTTCAAAATGTTTTCTGCCCACACTATAATGCATTAGGCCAGCGTTTTCAATTTCCTCCACTTTGAAGAGCATTTTCGAAAAGCTCCATTTTCGTGATAGATTAGTGTGGACAGGAGGCCTGATCATTGAGATAAAACTGTAGTTTCAAATTTCTCTGACATGGTGTGGACTGGGCCTAAGTGATACAACTGCACACCCTACAATGTATATTGCACTTTGATTGTTTACCATACTAAAATTTACAATAAGTCAATCAGGAGCCATGTTTACTGCCCTGATATCCTGTGATATCAAGTCACTGACCTGACATGGCTATGATGTCATGGTCACTTGGCTGAATTTGGGTACGCTAAATACCTAATCATACCTTTTTGGTATGCAATACAGCAGCATATCAGGACAGGTCTTGGAAGATATTCCTTCCATAGCGAAGGTATGGATATTTTCCAGAACTACACATTCAGTTATGGTGCTTTGGTGTCTGTATTAGCAAGGTTAGACTTACATTAAAATTGATTGTGGAAGCTCACTATAGGCAGCATGGGCAAGTAATTACAGTGCTAGTCTTGACATCTGAAGGTCACAGGTTCAAATCCCACTCTGACCACTAGCCGGGGGTTGTTCTGGGTAATCCCCAGTTCAACTCCACAGCTGAGCTCCTGAATAGCTAACTGGTCTGCCTCCTGTTTGTTGGGATTTTAAACCTTGTTGTGTTTAATACAATATTTGTTTCAGCCTTTATTTACACATTTTTAACCCTAAAAGCCTCCAGTGTAATGTGTTGAAAACAGGAAAATCCATATAAACTTAAATTTAGACTTATTAGTGGAGCTTCAGCAACCCAAAGGGCCGCCAAGCGGAGCCCAGTAACTATAGCAACAGAACCAAATGCATGCATAGGAATAGAAAACCATGCAACTCTTTTTTAAAGGTCAACATGGCTAGCAGAGTGGGTTGTGGGCGTGTGCGCCCTATGACAATGACAACATTGTGCCATACTCCAACTAATAGGTCGACCAAGGCATACAGCCTTGGTTTACAGCGTACATATTTGATATTGGACCGTGGACCGATATTTGATATTAGACCAAGGTCGTGAGTACAGACCGAATGCAGTGAGGTCTATACACACTACTGAGGTCAAGATCTTTCCGTACAGACTGACTTAGTTTGGTTAATAAGATGTTTATTACATGGCACAGAAGAAAACTTTAATTCGTTTAATGTAACTGGTTTGCTGACATTTTGCTTACAAACAGAGAGGAGCTTAACTTAAACCTGCCGAAATTTGCTCGTTCTCTTTACTTTTTTTTTTTGTCATCAGGCTTTTTGGCACTTCCATAAATGATTGAGAAGAAAATAAAAGAAAACGGTGAACATTTTTGTATTTGAGTTT